AGGTTTCTCACCAGTATGAATTCTGTAGTGAATTTTAAGACCTGAAGGCTGTTTAAAGGATTTCCCACATTCATTACATTTGTAAGGTTTATTTCCAGTATGGTTTCTGTGATGAGCTTTAAGCCTTGAGGAACAGGTGATTGAATTTCCACATTCATTATATTTGTACGGTTCGTCTCCTTTATGGATGCTTTGGTGAGCTTGAATATTTGGTGACTGGGTAAATACTTTGGATTTCTGAGTGTCTTCTCCTTTATGGCCTGAGAAATGTGGAAATATATATTTATAGAAATTCAAGAATTTTTAAGTGTTATGTACTTTAAAATTATTCCTTTGATATTCTTATATTATCCCTCTCTAATTTTAAAGCACATTTCATGAAATTTATCTTATATTTTCTAATATATACAAAAATCATCTGCAATTATTCAAAATAACATATTTCTTGAAACAAAATTTTTCCAACTAACATACAAGAGTAACATTTACCTCTTCATTATGAATCTCGATTATTAATATGGACACAAATCAACTTTAAAATCACTGTATAAAACAGTGACAGAAGTAAAGAACTACAATATTTATTTTACGATTGATTCCTAGTCAAAGATTAATTAATGGTTTTAAAATCTTGTAGATTATTTGTAAGAAAGAAGCATAATAAAAATCTAAGTGTATCAGTTAAAAATCATATCAGGCACATAAGAAACAAAGATTTAAAACTGTTCTCAAGTATTAAAGAAAATTCATTGAGAGAGATAAATTCCTAAATTCCTGAAAAATTTTAATCATGGTAAAAATCATAATCTACATAATATAAGTATTTCTACAATACTCAAATGTAAAAGTATATTTCAAATTAAATATGATATTCTGAAATTAAAAGTTGAAAAGTCAAACATTATTTTGAAATGCATTAATGAATCCCTGATACGCATATAATTTTCTGGTAGACAGCTTTGTGTGCATCCTTGTAGGCCTGGCGCCACACAGCCCAATCATGTGAAGTTCACACTCCCTAAAGGTCTGCAAAACATGTTTCCTGGCACGTACAATGGAAGGGATCTGCCCAATCCATCTCATGCTGCATTTTACAGTACACATAGCTACTTGCAGTCCCAGATTCTGGCAGCCCTCAGAAATCACTAGCTTTGTCTGTATCACTTGAGAACAGCTCATTTCCTGAGCAAACAGAAATTTGAAGATAGGAGGTACAACCAACTCGGCCTGTAACTCTAGAATGATGCTGCCACAAAGGGCAACACAACTCTACCTGAAATTCCACAGAACTGTAGCCATCAGGACTACTATGCCTTCCAATACTAGGGACAACCAGCTGGCTAAAGCACATGGGAAGAACATATTTAACAATACCCAGGGCACTATTTCACAACAAGAAAACAGAATATATATACTGTGTATACTGCATATACTTGAAACTATTTCATATACTAGCAAACCTTGTATGTACTAGCAAAATTTAATTTCAAGAAAATGGCGTTAAATCTCATGTTGTAAAGATGATAAAGAACATTTAAAAATGATTAAATCATCTAAAGTATAGGAAAATACAATCAAATATTTAGACATATTTAAAGAGAAAAAATAAATAAATACTAAGAAATACAGAAAAATACAATCATATGGATGAAAGAAATGAATAAAAATGTTCACAATCTGAAAAGAAAAATAGATACAATGAACTAAACACAAACTGGCAAACCTAGGGATGAGAACAGGAGCTTGATACACACGCATCACCAACCAATAGAGGATATGAAAGAGAAAATCTCAGATGTAGAAGATATGATAGAAGAAGAAGAAATTGGATAAAGAAAATTACAAGTCTAAAATATTTCTAACAACAGATTTGCAGAAAATTTGGAAACATATGTAAAGGCCAAATCTCAAGAAACAAGTATGAATAAACAAAAGAGAAGACTTCTAGCTTAAAGGCCCAGATAATATTTCCTACATAATCATGAATGAAAATTTCTCTATCCTAAAGAAAGATATGGTTTAAACATATATGAAGTTTACAGAATACCAAATAGATTGGATCCAAAATTAAATCCTCCTAATATAATATCCATAAGATTAAATGTACAGTATGATAGGAAGAATATAAAATGCTGCCAGAGAAAAAGGCTAAAAAAACATATAAAGACAAACTTACCAAAATTACTCCTGACTTCTTACAGATAATCTAAAAGCTGGAAGGGCCTCGATATGTGATACTACAGATATCAGTTCAGAACCTATATCCCCCAAAACATTAAATTACCATCAATGAAGAAAACAAAAAGTCCATAAGCAAAGCAAATACAATAAAAAATTTGCATTAATATAGCCCTATAAATAATAGTGGGAGGATGACTCAAGCACTAGAAGGGTAATTACACCTCTCAAACATCAAGAAATAAATAATTTACACCAGAAAAAAAACATAAGAAGAGAAACACACACACACAAAGACATAAACACACACACACGAACACAAATACATTCTCCACGCCAATATCAAAATAACAGATATTAACAATCATTCCTCATCAATATTTATCAATAAAAATGGATGGAATTTCCCAATTAAAAAAAAAACAGACAAAATGTATGGATGTGTGACTAGGCTCCTCCATTTTGTTGTTTAAACAACAACAACAACAACTACAACGACAAAAAACATAACCAACCAAAACAAACACTACATCAAAGGAAAGTTCTTGATAAAAATTGTTCTAAGCAAATAAACACAACAGTAGCCATTCCTATATCTAATTAAAGAGATATTCATCCAAAATAATCAGAACAGATTGGGAAGCACACTTTATATGTATAAAAGAAATTTTCTACCAGGTAAAGTCTCAATTCTGAGCTTTTACTCCCCAAATGAACCCACATTCATAAAAGAAACTTTATAAAAGCTCAAAATATACAATGAACTCCACACAATAATAGTGGGAAATTTCAACACCCTTCTCTCAGCAATAGACAAATAATCAAAACAGAAAATTAACAGATATTATGAATCACATGAACCTAACAGTATATACAGAACATTTCACCCAAACACAAAACTATATATATTCTTTCCAGCACGTCACAGAACCTTCCTCAAAATTGAACATATACTTTGTCATATATTAAGCTTCATTAAATACAAGAAGACTGAAACAAGTCATTGTATAGTTTTATAACACCATGAATTAAAGCTGGATTTCACAAACAAACAAAAAAATCATAACAACAGACCTCAAGGAAATTCAAGAACTCTTTAACTCTTATTTCAAAAGGCTCTGGGCCAAAAATTAGAAAGTATAAATGAAATGTTAAATTTTCTGGAAAGACTCCACATACAAAAGTTAAGTGAAGATCAGGTAAACAATATAATTTAAGAAACTGAAGCAGTCATTAAAATTTTTTAGCAAAAACATCAATAACTTCAGAAAGCTAATGCCTGGATGCTTTTAGAAGAGAAAATAATATCAACGACAAGTTAATACCAATGCGCCTCAACTATTCCACAAAACGGAAATGAAAGAAGTATGGCTAAACTCATTCTACTAGTACACATTGTCCCTGATACCTAAATCACACAAAAACACAACAATTAAGGGAAATTTCAGACCAATTTGAATTAAGAAGATTGTTGTATAATACTCATTAATATACATGCAAACAAAAATTCAAGAAGACATCAAAAACATCATCCAACATAATCAAGAATGCTTCATCTCAGATATGAAGGGCTCATTCAATATATGAAAATCTATCAATGTAGTCCACAACATAAGCAAACTGAATGAACTAAAAACATGGTTATTACACTAGACAATGAAAATTCTTTAATAAATTCCTATACCCCTTCATATTAAAATCTTAGAGTGATCATGGATACAAGGCATATAACTAAACACAAGAAAGGCAATAAGGGACAAGCCAACTGCCAAAATGAAGTTAGAGAGAAAATTAAAAATAATATACTAAAGTGAAGGAAAAGATAAGGCTATACATTCTCTTCTTGTCTCCTCAGTATACTACTTAAATTTCTAGTTTGATCAATGAAGCAATTAAGGAGATCAAAAAGATATGAATTGTAAAAGAAGAGGAATGGTTTCATTAACCTACCTTTAAAAAAATTGACCCAGAATTGTTCCTGACAAATAGAAATTCTGCAACTAAAATAGAGGAAAAAATAAAGCAAA